TTATACAAAAAAAAAAAAAAAAAAAAAAATCTTTAATAGTTTTTTAAAAAGCAAAAGCGAAATGAGTGAAGTAGACGGTATGTATTTGCTGAAGCTAGGCAAAATCCTACATCCGTATTTTCTTATCTTTTCCTTACAGTTCCTTCGATTCATAGCACCAAATAGCTCCGACCACTTCTCGCAGGAACATGGCCGAGATAATAGGCATACTGACGAAAGGCATGATGAGAGAGACGATAATCGCCATCATGAAGATCGTCATGAAGAAAGAGATCGTACACAAAGTCGCTCTCGTTCTAGGTCTCCTCGCAGGTCTCGTTCCCCTAGGGATAGAAGGTAGTTGCATTTATAATTTTATTGTATACACATTTTTGGATATACTAACCTTTTTAATAATGGCACTGTTAGTGCTGGAGACAGACATAACAGTGAAGAAGATGGTTTGAACCCTGGGAACAATCTGTTTGTTACCGGGTTGTCAACTCGAACAAATGATCGTGATTTAGAAGCATTATTCGCAAAGTATGGCAAGGTAATTCTCATGCTTTTAAACTATGAATAAACCTTGTCCCATCTTTTCTTACGATAGACCTCTTGCAGGTTATAAAAGCTCAAATTATGTATGACCCTCATACTCGTGAGTCGCGCGGGTTTGGATTTGTAACAATGGAAACGACAGACGAGGCAGATGCGGCAAGAGAAGGTATTAATGGTAAAGAAATCAATGGTCGTCTCGTGACCGTGGAAAAGGTAAGTTACATTTATCTAACATTCCAATTTTGCTTGCTTGCATCTCAAAAGGAAAAAAAAAATACGAAATCGTATGAATTATTATTATTTGGTTCTAAATCTATGTAAAGGCCCGTCGTTCTCGAGCCAGGACTCCAACTCCTGGTCGGTACTATGGACCACCTAAACGTAGAGGTAGGTACGACAAACGTTTAATATACATCGTTATTCCACATTGATACATTCTTTACCATTTATTATAATAATAGAACCCCGTCGAGTTGATAGGTTCGATCCTAGATATGATTATAGCAGACATTATGATCGCTATGAGAGACCACCAAGAGGTTATGGGCGCGATCCATATTATGACCGTGCTTATGATCGATCTTATTATGACCGGGGATATGAGAGAGGTTATGACCGTGCCTATGATAGAGCTTATGATAGAGCTTATGATCGAGATCGTCGACCTCCGCCACCGGCCCGCTATGAACCTTATCCTCGACCTCGTTCACCTTATTAATTGGCTCTTAATTGAATTCATCAAAAAAAAGTTATACTGAAGTGCAATATTCCTATCAACCTAACCGCAGTGAATTGCGTAATTTTATTGGTTGTACATATGATAAAATCTTAGATGGTTTTCAAAGGTTAAAAAGGCGAGAATTTTTATTCTTTTGCTCACAGTTATAATTATAGACTGATAATAAAAATCCTTAAGAACTTCAAAACATCAAGCGTACTCCTCTTTTTTGTGGACATTTTCAACTTATTTTATCAAAGTTTATTGTTAGCCTTCAAGGCACTTCACTCGCCTGAGAAATTTCTGTTAAGTCCACCTCGATCGTGGTCAACAGTACTAATGAGACATCTGGTGAGATTCTCATGATCAAATGAAAAAAAAAAACAAATACGTTACTATAATGATCATACGTCTAGGGACCCTTAATGCATTGTTTAATAATCGCAGGGAGCGACCCTGATTAAGATTTGAAAAGTTAAAAAATATGATTTTTTCTGTCATCATGCATTCACCCTAGAGAATCTTATATTTGATTTTCCTATAAAGTATCTTATCCTCTAGATTATCACTATCAGAACTTCATACACGAATCGGACCTTAGAAATGTCATACTCTTTAAATAACTAACAATGAAATAATTAGAAAATAAATTGAAGGCAAACAAATAATGCATGTCTTTTATTATCTTAAATTATAAAAAACAATTCATTTTAATTTATACAATATTATGTTGTTATTCAAATTACAAAAATACAGTAAATTATTATATTTAATTTTAATTCTATATTTGTCAATCCAAAAAACAAATATTCTTGAAAAAAATTTTATTTTTTAATAATAAAGTCTAAATACTTGGGTAATTATTTTCGAAGGCGAACCGGAAATTTTCTGGCGTGATCTTAGAATTTATACTATATAAGTATTGTTTAAAAGTTGGGTCCAAAAAAATCATATCTAGCATTTTTGTCGCCTTCAAAAATAATTATCCACTTTCTTTAATAACACATATTTCTAAAGGCAAAAGCTTTTCTTACTTGTTTATCTTTTTTTTATTAGAAAATTTTTTAAAAAGTTATTTATCAAAAATCAATCTATAATCACTTAAATAGCTTATATAATAAAAATAAAATAAAAAACAATACTAATTAAAGACCAAATGAGAAAAACTTATCAGGTATTTCTTTTTAACTTACAAAAAATCTTAAGTGCTTATAAGAAAGTATAGATATATAAGAAGTTTTGTGATTATGTATATTAATATCAAAATTATTAAATCATGAACTTTATTTAATAAATTTATTATATTTCAACATTTTGACAATTAAACTAAACTTAAATTTGTTATCTTAATATAATTAATCATATGCAAGTTTAAATAAAAAAGTATTTCAAAAACTATTTTTAAAGAAATATTGAAAACAAATCTTATTAAAAGATAAAAATTAATAATCAATATTTTATTTAAAAAAGAATTGATTTTTTTTTTATTTTAAAATCAAAGTTACTTAAGAACTTATTAATACAACTTCAAAAGTATTATCAATCTTGAAGTTTTTATTATCAAATTATTAAGTTTAATAAAAATAAAATATTCAAAATACTTAAAATGCTTGCAAGTTAAATATTATATAATATTTTATTTGAATAATATATTTATTTTTTTAATTTTTATTATATATCGAATATTTTTGTCTTTTGTTAATTAATTTATAATTAGAATTATAATAATTTAACTTACAATATAATTTTTTTTTTTTTTTTTTTAAGTTGGCTAAGGGTATTAGATGCAAGACTTTATTTACTAATTGATAGTACTGTCATTATATTAAACATCTTTACAGACTAAACTATTGCTATTTTAGAATATAAATTAATACTACCTACCATAAACCACTGCATACAATATCCCCCTTGAATAGTACCCTTCTTGATTTTTTTAATAGTATTTTTCTTTTTTTCCTTAAATAATTTTTCTGGTGGAATGATTAATACCCGGGATATTGTATACAGTGGTTTACGGTAGTATTTACTGTTTTCAGTAGTACTGGTTTTCCAAAGTCCAACCCGATTACCCTGGTTAACCAGCTTGTATCAAGTAGATGGGCTCGCGCCAGGTAGGACTTACACAAAATGGAGGAAGTCCTACTACTAGTTTAAATCTACTATCCTATTGGTCCAATCGTATTTTTCGGCTGCCCACCAGGAGAAGATCATATGGAATATTATTATAGAGACTAACTCCAGTATTCTAGTCACTGTTATCACCGATCCTCAGGATGTGCTACTAGTATAACGTCGCACTACCGTTTTCACCACCTGTAAAACTGGCATCCTTGCTTGGATTCCGATTTAATCTTATAGATCCTCATTAGACTCACTTGGCTTAATGATTTTTGTCTAATCTTCTCACCACCTGTAGCTGATACCTTGCCCATCGGCCATATAATTAAGTTCCATGGAACACCACCATTGGGATAGATCTACAAGCTCCAGATTAGGATAGATCAGCTTAGAATTAATCTCTTTATATTGTGTGACAGAGTCTGCCATCGCCATTAACTTACAATATAATTTATATTATAAATTACAAATATATATAAAAAATATTTTTATATACAATATGTAAATTCATATAACTTTTATAATCAATACTTATTTTTATTGATTAATAATAAAAATTCATAATATATAATATAATATATTATTTTACTAAGGCTTGTGAGTCCATAGTATAGTGGTTAACACTCCATAGATCAAATCACAAGATACCAGTTTAACCTTATGTAAGAATGATTAAATAGAATTAATATGATATCTGATGTGATAACCTGTAAAAATATTGTTTCTTATAAGAAGCCATTTCATACGCTAATCCAATAAGTGTTGAAATTATAATTTCTAGAAAAGATGTCATAGTATGATGATTGTCTGGTTGATATTACAATGATCGCCAAAAGTTGCAAGATATATAAGGTATCTACTTTCAATAAGTAGGTTTAGTGATTCTTTTCCTAATATCTGATGTCTTTCATGCAGATCACTGCTCTAATCTTATCTCAATCCAATAATAAAATCAATCTGGCAGTACTTATTTTGAAAAGGCTTCTGGCTATAAGTTCTATTCCTTACAATATGTAAGTTGATATTTAAACAATAAGTATCAACTATAAGTATCTTGAATGTTCTTGGGTATTATTGGACAGATAAGAAATTAAATGGTTAGCTCAGCTGCAGGTAGTGGTAAAGGAATTTATTCCTAATGGAGTAAGCAGTGATTATGTAGCTTTATTCACTATAGATATTATCTCTAGTGTCCCCTTTCAACTTTCTCTTAATTCCTTTCTGATTAGAAATAAAGCTATTCAATTATTAGTGAAAATACATACTACTAGTCTAACAAAAGAATACCTTTATTCAGTAAATTAGTCTCTATATTTAATATAATTAGGAACAAGCTACAGCAAATGTTATTATTTGGAGCAATCCCAATAAGTATTAGGTGTAACTAATAACTAATATATTATAGC